GTGAGTAAAAGCGCACAAACATATCTAAACAGAAAATCAAGCTTAATAATAACAAAACAAATAATGAAAAACAAGAACAAAAACAAAAACAACTAAAAAAGCAGTTTGGTATCGGCAACACCCTCTGTTATTAGCAAGCAAATATACATATTTCGTATTCTCTTGTATATCAACACAAGTGCTACACAAGTATTTGTTATTTTTTTTTAAGTTCAAACAAATTCGTTGCATATGTATATGTATGTGTTGTAAGCACAACACAACTACTCAGCCTTCGTTTAAAGCTACATGCTGTATACTTGCTATACTCGTTTCCCAACCCGAATACAAAATTTTTATATAAACCAGTAATTGCACACTGTAAACCAGGGCTTTCATATATGTACGTATGAATGTTATTTCACTGATATGCTGACTTTTGATAATTATTTTTGAATTGGTTGTTGTTGTTGCTGTTGTTTTAATTGTTGTATTATTTTTGTATTTGTGGCCCTTTTGCGCGAGCTGCTCCATCTTGGAATTTGACTTCCAATCGCATTTCGTAGCTATAGTCAACAATTAGCACTTTAGTATTAATGAACTGTATAAGTGAGAAGGCGAACATGTTGCTTGCGGCGGTCGCTTTTTAAGTAAACAAAAAGCAGCAGTGTATGCACGATGAAAACAGTACGAGCGCGATAATTTCGTTGTATGTAGAAAAAGCGGTGTGGCGTAGGAAAATTTTTATTTTATATGCGTAACACTGAAAAAATTCGTTTTGAATTTGCCGACGTGCATTCAAACTTGCGTTAAATAGTGGAGAATTTTAAATAAAGAAAATGTGTATCGTCCATGTACGTTATTATACATGAAAAAGAAATATAATATGAGATACATATATAAAAGAGATAAATTAAAAAAAAAATTAATTATTAAAATCATAAAATGATGAGTAATAATTTTTAATTAATATAATTCTTAAAGTTAAACTGCAACTAAGTTTAAAAAGAAATATATTACTTTACAAGGGTAAAAAAAAATTGTATTTAACATATATGTCGCATATAATTTAAAAATTAGCGTGAGAATCACTTTTTAAGAATAAATTGATTGGAGGTTTTCTAATAATTAACATTATTAGAAAAACAAACTGAAAAAATTAAGTACCTTCACCAATATTTTTTGAACATATACATATGTAATATTTTGGAAATAAATTATTAAAAAGGTTATACCAACGATCTCAAGGGATCCACTTAGGCCTATAAGCCCATTGTGTTAAAATTATTAAAAAATACACGAAATTTTTCTAGTGAACAATTTAATCAAAAAAGAAAAAAACATATATTAGATGATAAAAAAAGCGCAGTTAATGAAATATTATTTCTAATAAACAAAAAAATAGATTTAATGTGATTATATTAATATAACTATTAAAAACGTGGAAAAACATATAGTAAACTATTTTGTATTTAATAAAAGTGTTTTAAAATTTAAATTTAAAGAAAACTAAACAGAAGAAATTTATTGTTACTAAAATAAATAAAAATAAATAAATAAAAAAAATTATTAAACAAAAAAAATTAAAATTAAATACTTTATTTAATAATAATTTTTTATTAATTTACATTAAAACAACTAAACAGAAGCAGTTTATTGCTTTTAAATACACATTCATATTTTGGAAAAGTGTAATACATATAAACATTTTCTTGAAACAAAAAAAAAATATTTTGAACCATAGTTGAAAAAAATCCAAATGAATAGGTAAAATACAACTTTAATGCAAATATTATTTTCATTTAAACTATAATTTTGAATATAAATTATATGAAATAAAACACAAAAACAAGAAATCTTTGAAATGAATGATCTTGTTTTACTAACTTACGCTAAATACTTAAAGATATATTGCTGAAATTAACCAAATACTTATAAAATAAATAACGAAAGACATATGAGTTTGTTTAAATATACATTCATAATGAATTAAAGTTTATATACAGATAATCCATAATTAAAAATTTACTAAATCCCCATACTTTCTATAATAATTGCAAAAACCAACGCTGTCCAAAACCATTGACCTTAAGACTCGTACTTCACAATAACATACTTTGTATTGTACTGTACATAAGGTACCGTAAAGGTAAATCTACAAATCACTTAATGAAAATAAAAAACTCAAAGAAATAAAAGATTTGCAAGCGCTTTGATGCGCACTTTTATAAAAATTAAAATTTAAAGATATAAAAAAAAACAATTAACACAAAAAACAAATAAATGAAAATATTTATGAATTAATCGATTTATAAATCAATATATAAATTAAGAAACAAAAAAATCACTTGAATAATAAATTAATAAATCAGTGAATCAATTATTCTCTAAGCCAATAAATCAATAAACAAATAAATGAAAAGTATTTGCACCTAAGTTTAAATCAGTATGTCTATGACATCAATATAACTCCCTTTCTACAAAGCTTGTATTAATGATTTTGTAAACTATCCACTTATATCGTCTTATACAAAAATCCACTTATATCGTCTTATACAAAAATATAATATATTGATAGAATAAAATATACAATAAAAATAAAATATATAATTAAAGTAAACTATAAAAGATTTACAAAATATGGACATAAATTCAATATTAAAATTAAATTCATTTAATGTTTCAAACTAAAAAGGACATCGATACTTCAAAAGAAAAGTAATTTTCTTTTAGTTACTTACATATATCACAATTAATTAATTATGTTATTATATTACGCATGAAAAATTCCGAAAACTAAAGTGATTAAAATAAAACTACACACATAGGATTAGTTTATATAATCTTAAAATATTTTAGTTTAAAATAGTAATTCAATTTATTCCATAATTAATTTATGGTTTTAGTATATAATGAAAAAAATATTAACACACAATATTTGTACTTTCTGCATACAGACCTTAATAATATATAATTAATTATTTATGATATTTATGATTAATTAATTATGATATATATCAGAACATAAAAAAAAATTTTGAATGAAATATATTAAAAGATGATGTTTAGACTTAATGAATGCAAAATTTTATAATGTGTTCTATAAAAGAATTAAAATTAATACATGTTGTAATAATATAGGAAAAAATATTTTGAAATCTACCTAAAGTGAATAATAATCCTGAACAAAAGACAGTTAGAACTTTAAAGGAAAAGAAATAATAAACGAATTAAACAAAACAGTGTCTAAAATACTAAAAGCATATCCTACATTGTTTAATTATTAATTAACCTAAAAGGCTTGTGATTTAATAATCTTTTATTAAAATAAGTTATAATCTTAAATTAAGAAACTTAAATGTGAAAGACGAATACAATGACACAATCATCTAATATATGCGAAAAGTAACCCCATAATGAGCCGGTTACCTTACAACACTGTACTAACTAACTGAAGTGTATGTAAAATAATATTTATTTAACTGATTTTAAAACGTGTGAATACGTTCAAATAAGTTTAAACTTTAAATAAAGGAACAAATGCATATCCGGCAAAAATATACAATTATTTCGCCTACAATTATATTACAATTATTCAAAGAACGCATAAACTTACCCCATGTACTAACCAACGCAATCACTTTAAAACACTAAATTAAAGAACTGCATATATTTCTGTTATTCATCTATATAATTACAATAATTAGATGGGCCACAAATTACTTAAAATCAAGCAATTTATGTCAAAATATTTTTTGACATATTTCAAGTAATTGAAAATGTAGACAACAAATATAATATAAAAAATATTTCAAGAGCGGATATCAATTCTCCGCTGGAATAAATAAACCTCCACACTCAACAAGTGATCGTATAATATTACCTTAAAACTTTTAATACAATATAACAAAATTAACTATCCTTGGTTAATTTGCATCAGTTTTTTTACTTACTTTAATGCATCATACAAAATAAATAAATAAAAATTAACGTTTCTTTAAAAACTTGAAAATAGTATGATTTATTTATTTAAGTTAAAGTCAACATCAATTGAATAAAAAATATTAAAATTAAATTAAACTAAGCAATAATAAAAAATTCATAAAAATAGTAAGAAAAGAATTCTCCAGCAGAACAACCAAATCTCCTCTAATCTTTTTTAAACCTTCTACTCGCTTTACTATACCAAATTATACACAAATACAAATTATTTAATTTTCTATTTCTGTAAAGACTTCAAAAAAGTATGATTCATTTATTGGAATAATATTCAACAACAATTATATCGTACATAACAATTAATTAAATTATATTAAACAATAATAAAAAATTAACGAAAACTGTACGAAACAATTCTCCAGTGCAAAAACCAAATCTCTACTCAACTTAATGACTCTTTCTCATTTTACACTTTACAACACTGAACTGAACTAAACAAGAAGTCCATAAATTTATTTTTAATTATAGCAACCGTTACAGTGTGACTCATATACTGCCAACATCATTATCATAATTGATAATATCATTATTATCAGTATCATTAACAATAATGGCTACGTAAAAGTGTGATTAGTGTTGTTAAATTGTTGTTTTTTTTTCGTTTATCGTTTGTTGTTGCAATCATTGATTCCGTTTCTATTATTTTGATTAATTATAGTTGCTACTGCTTGTAGTTAATCTTGAGTAAAAAAAATAAAAAATATAAATAAGAAAATAGACGGCAAGAAAAAACAAATACAACAAACAATAGAAACCCGGCTAATTGTCTTCATATTTTATGCAAATTTATTTCTTTTTTTATTTTCAAATATTTTTTTTGATATTTTTTTTGTTTAAATTGTGATTTAACATATGCAAATTTTTATAGTTAAGTGTTTTATATTCAAACCAAAAATAAATAAAATAAAACAAAACAAAACAAAAATAAACTATAGTTTTAAATGAAATAAAATAAAATTAAATAAATATTAAATGAATATTAATTGCTAAAATTAATTCATAACTAATTTTATTGCATACAAGAATTCAAAAATAAATAAAAGAAAAAGAAATTGATTAATAACATTTTGCGGAAATATTTTGTTGCTGTCATCAGAAAGACGTTTTTAGCCGGTAAGTTTTTAAATTAATCAAAATTAATTTTCTATTAAATTAGTATTTTATTAATAGAAAATGTATTATTATGCTTTATAAATATTGTCGTGTATATATTTTATACATTATAATTCATGTCTTTACAAAACATATTTTATTAAAATTGAAAGGCAATTAAAGTATTTAAAAATCTTTTTAATTTTTATATATAATAAATGATAATTGTCATTTTTATAAAGGTTGCTCATTTTTAGTTGACAAAAATAGACACAAAAAAAAAAAAAACTAAAACCTAGTAATCGTTTTTTGCAGAAGAAATTTTATTTTTTTAAAAAAAAATAATTTTAATATTAAATAGTAAATGGTAAGATAAAATATATGTATAGAATTGCATTAGCAGTTGCTACCATTGATAACATATTCTTTCTGTGGTTTTTAACCTTGTAGTTCACTTCAAGAAATATTAAGATTAAATATAATATAATACATATATATAATAATTTTTTATTAAATTTATTATATAATAAATTATTTGAAATATAATTTAAATTTAACACAAGAGCTTGTTTTCTACAAAAACTTCTTTTCATTATTACTCGTTATTTAGTGCAGTTACATGGCACTTTTGAATTATTTATTTTCTATTCTTTTAAATGTTAAAAAGAAAGAGTCATGTATTGAATAACAAAGTTTTTATATTTAAATTATTGAATTTGTTTGGCTGCTCATATATCTGTTTTCAAATATATTGGGTTTACTAAATACCCATCATCAGTGCTCCTTAGAAATAACGCTGAATGCTTTAATCATAAATTCAAATTTTTTTTACGGAACTAATATATATACTTTGAATGTTTTATCTAAAAAAAAAAACATAATCAGTGCAGTACTAGTTTTGTACTCCAGATATCTCATCAGTATAGAAAACAACTTATCAGAGATTTCAGTAAACTAATCAAATTACATCTCGATTGATTTTTTATTTACTTGCTTATGTTTATTTCGTATTCTTCAGATGCACACTTTTAGACATTGCTTTTACGTGCTAGCATTCATCCATTCGAAATTTATCCGTTTGCGTATTTGCATTTCACCCAGTGGCCTAGCCAGGATTATGCCAATGTTAGAATATATGTATATGTCGGGCATTGTTTTTGAAGTGTTATGTCTGTAAATTATATTGTCAAGGATCTATCCGTTATATATACGTTTTATATAATTTATACATTTCATATATTTTTTATTTTTCTATTAAAAAATTTTATGCTTAGACAAGACTTATGACAAGGAATATAAAAGCGGTTAATAGAGAGAAAAGTTTCGGATTCAAAAATAATTTTTTAATCAAGTGAATTCTTGAGGACTATAGCATTTGTCGTACTATTTTTAGAACTAATGCATAAACAACTGTTATATAGATACATTAACATTAACATAGTAATTATTCTTTATTTCATATTTAAACACTTTTGTTGGTAAAAAAGTGGTTTCTGCCCTTTCTTGTTTTTAAATATTTTGGTCTATAATTTCGCTAATGGAATTTTACAGATATCAGCAGGAATAGATTGGCAAAAGCAATTTCAAGAGTGTCCTGAACTTAGATAAGTCCTTAAATTTATAATTGTAGTTGTATTTAGTGGTACAAATCTTAAGTTAGTGATGCAATTTAGATCATATGTTGCAGCATACATGTATAGGTGCTTGAACGAAACAGAGGATTACGTTAAAGTTGATGAGCCACATTCTCAAAACATGTAATTGCCATATATATATGTATGTATCTATTAAATGGTGAGGAAATTATATTCAAGAAATGTAGGAATACGTTATAATTGAATTAGCCCTTGGAGCTAATTGCGGACTCCCAGTCAGAAAGATCATATCCCACTAACCTGTTTAAAGTGCTTTATACCTTCTGCTCAAAAAGTACTCGGATTTTGTAAATAAAAATTTTAAATTTAAAAATTTAAATTTTATTCCAAATTTATTTTATCTCCTTCAAAATATGCTCCTTCTGAAGCGATACACATATGCCAACACTTAACCCAATTTTCCATACACTTTTCGTAGGCCCATAAAGCTATGGCTTTTAGTTCCTTCAGCGAATTCTCTTTTACCGATTCAATCGACTCAAAACGCAGGAACAGGAAAAAGTCGCACCGATCCAGATCTGGCAAATACGGTGCCTGAGCGATGACAGTGGTGCCGTGTTTGGTCAAATAATCGCGTACAACAAGAATTTTCCATAGTAAAAATCGCTAAATGCACTTGAGGTAGTCACACATTAACAGCTGCTATAAACAAACTAATTGACAGATGGCGCTCTGTCAATTAGTACCACATGTCAAGAAAGGGTGTACCAACATAACAAAAAAAAATTTTTTTGAAAAAGGTCTATTATGTAAGGAGTAGTTAACAAACAACAAAATCCGGATACTTTTTGAGCAGAAGGTATGCCCAATACTACAATTGGTTTAGCGAGACAGAAAGAGAAAGAATATTCTCTTAAATTTGTTGTTTGTTTTGTTTTATCGAATGTGATGTATCCTATGACGAAGAGAAACTAGAAGGGTTTGAATAGTAAAGCAGAAACATTAACAAAAATTTGATTAACTTATTGAAATTTGACTGACCATACAACACTGTTTCGAGTACTGCCAATCTATAGTTTTCTTCAATTTACTGATGCCAAAGGCAAAGGAAAAGCATCTTCAATGTAATAATTGTATTAACAATACAATACTGTTGTCAATTTAGAAACAATTTAAGAACAATTTATTTATACTCCTGTTTGTCTTTCTGTTTGTTTATACAATTTTCCCACTGTAATTGACTTCGCTCTTATGCTAAGACTATTTCCTATCTGAGATTTAATCTATTTTCCAATTAGAATAGTTAAAGATGAAAATAATTAAGTATTTAAATTTTTTATTTATTATTATGCGCTTCTGCACTTCAACGATTATTTAAATATTTAATTAATTTATCATGTATATCCAGATCACAAAATAACACGCTTTTTATCAAATAATTTTAATTAATCAATTTTTTTTATTGTTAAAACAGATTTTTATTATTTTGTTAATCAAGCTAAAGATTAATATCGATTGTTAGTAATTAAAGCGAGGCGTTTTTAATTGCTCTTCTCTCGCTAATAAAAAATTAATAACTAAATTAAAGGTGTTAATATTATCTCAAACACACACCGATTTATATCAGATTGATTTTAATATTTAATAGCTAAAAGTATATTTTACGATTTTTTAAGCAATTAAATCAAAAAATTTTTTCATTTTTATAACAAATAAATTGTGTATAATTTTCTAAGTGTATAACTTTAATGCCTTGTAAAACAAGCTAACGAAATTTAAATAAAAATTTACACAAATTTACGACTTTTACAAAGTTTTCTTTTTGTAATAAAAAAATGCTTAATACATTTTTAAAAACCAATCAAGTAAAAACAAAAATCTCATTAAGTTTTGTTTCAATTAGAAAGCATAAAAATATTTAAGAACAAAGATAGCAGACAACGAATGAAAAGATACTTTGCTTGAGAGGCTGCGTTTATGGCATTTTGGTCATTAAAAATTTTAAATTATTGAACTTTTTTTTTAAATTATTTTTGTTACAATACAATAAGAAGACTGACACAAATTAACAACATTATGTAGTACTTATAAAGATAATATGAGTAAGAAATGAATTTAAAAAAAAAGGTATAGTAAGTAGGCACACTAATGTGTCCATATAATGGGTTCTGAAACTTACTTTTAAGCGACCTAAGTGAAATAAGAACTTATTTTATTATTATATTAATAATTCACTATTTTATTACTTTATTAATAGTATTATAATACAATATTAAGTATTGTAGCAGCAAGTTCTTCAGTTGAGATTAAGTCTTTTCAGGCTGTAAATGAAATTTAAATGTACAGTGAGGACAAAGATAAACGTTCTTCATATTAACGTTCTTCTAAGTAGTACAAATTTTGGATTAAAAACTCTCAATATCTGAGATTTAAAAATACTCAATTTTTAAACAGCTTTTAAAAAAAAAGCTTTTTAATGAAGCTTTTGTAAAAGAGAATTACTTACTGCTGTTGAATCTCTGCAAAGCAAAATAAGTTTCATTGGTCTCAACTGAATGGTTTCAACATAATCAGAAAAAATTAAAAATTTAAGTTTTATTATACTCTCTGTGGACATATGTGAGAGAAAGCGCTCTTGTGTAGATCTTTTGTAACTCTTCTGTTTTCATAATTTGTATGATGCAATTTCCTGTGGTTAGGAACTGCAAAATCTTGTCTGATACCACAAAGGTATACCTAGAACACAGAGATACCATAAGTATGATATCCACACTGTTCTGATTAAGCCTTTGGTATGCAATGCATAACATGGTAGTCCATGTAGTAATAACATAAGACTAAGTTAACTTAAATAAAAACCTTAATCAATTATTTACCATGTTATGTTATTATAACACTTTTTAGAGACCTATAAAATATATAAAGGGTGGTCTTTTTCGGTAGTACTATGACAGTGAAATATGCTCAATGAAATTATCATACAAGATGTCATAAATTTCGTTTACTATTTACCATTTTACAATTCGATTCGTTTAACAACCGCTGATAATGCTAAAATTGAGAAAACTTCTCATAAAAGAGGTGTTTCTGTAGTAAAGAGATTTTGTGCATTATGTTTAGATTATGGTCGATAAAATCATTCATCTGAGTACTCCATAATCAACACTTTGAAGAAATTTGAATAAACTAGATATATAATAGATGACCACAAAACAAATCAGCACAAAATAAACTGCGCTCTGTTGTTACTGAAAGTGTTGAAGAATATCCAAATTTCTTCATGGCTCTACGCCAAATTTTGAATCTGTATTTGCATTCCCATTTTTACCAAATTCAGCTTATACAAAAATTGAACCCTATTGACTGAGCAATGTGCTAACTGCGCGAAAGAGCTTTAAATTTTCACGAGGCAAGGCATGCCTCTCG